CATGAGGCATTTCCGTTTAGGGTTGCCCGCCAGACATTTCCATGTATTCTTCCATGTAAGTCAGACATTTCCGTTTAGGGTTGTTCACCAAACAAACCATCCAATCGATCGCACTTGATTTAATATGTGATTGTTGACAAAAACAAAATTCCAAATAGCTATATTTGATTTTTTAAACAAAAATATATTGATTTTACTCGCTAATCATATTATCTCACGTATAACGTGGATAATTACCTAGTATTCTATTAAAGGAAAAACATTCAAGGTCATTTTTATGATATGCCATCACTATAATTTTTTTAATCTTTTTATTTTTGATTTATATAATTTGGTTATAGTTATTACTAAACACATAAGTTATTTTGATTACTCTAATCTTAGTTGTCAAGCACATTAGAATATTCATAAACTTCCCTAAAAGAATTAATCAAAGATTGTAATAAAGCTTACCAATAAAATTGAACAAAAAATGAATATCTATTTTAATAAAAATGGAAAAATTATTTAAAAAAATAATATGACCATAACACTGAAAAATTACCTAACTAATTCACAAAATATTAAATACATAAAGAAAATACTAATATTTACTAACTTACCGTAAGTTTGGTTACTTCGATTCAGTTTCATATAATTCGAGTTCGGTTCAAATTATTTAATTAATACAAAACTATACATTTGGAACATTGGAAAATCACTTAAATAATTCTAAATTTTAAATACATAAAAAGTAATAATATTTACTAATTTACTGTAAGTTTAGTTTATTCGATTCAGTTTCATATAATTCAAGTTTGTTCAGATAATTTAATTAATACATAATTTTTTATACCTATTTAGATTATTATATAATTTATTTTGGGTTCTACTTTGTGAATTTTAATTTGGTTTAGGTATTTAGTATAGTTGATCCTCAAGTGAAAACAATTTTATATATGTACAAACGAATATAAAATTTCGTATAATAATTAATGCAATATATGTAATCGATACTATCCTAGGAAGATTTTAAGTGGGTGGCTGGGTGTACTTGCCCCCTCCCTAATGCATGTAGATCCGCCCATGCCATATATATAATAGTAAATCTTATACCATATATAATTATTTTGACCGGAAATTCATAAAATGAGGTTATTTTATATATAAACTTGAATTATTTTCTACCACTGCTATTAGATTTTGCATTCTTTTCTTGTATTACACGGTGGCTCTTTACCAAAAAAAAAAAAATAGGGACAAAAAATTATAATAACTTCATTTTGTATAAACTCAATGACATATCTGGTCTAGCAAAACAGGTTCACATAATATATAAGAAAGGAACGGGATTATCTTAAAACATGCCATGGCTCTCCCGAAAAGGCCAAAATCGTTTTAACATGTCATGTCCCGCGTTTTTATTTTTAAATATTCTAGTCTCGCGTTTCACACGGGTTATCAATCTAAAGAAACGGGATTGAAGAGTAAGGACATGACACGTTCAACGATTTTGGCCTTTTCTGGAGAGCCATGTCCATCGCCATATTGATACATGCACTGGGACATGCGTGCCAAATTCATTACAGTTTCCACAAAATCATGATGGAGTAGAGAAGAGGTATGTGCTATCATCTCGTAATTCATTTCATCCCACGAGTCATTGATCATCTGCCGAACGTACGAACGGGCTTCCTCCTCTGAAGCTCCAGTCTCATTCATGTAACACTCGATCGATTTAGGTACGTCTCCTCTCGCCAACTCATCCT